AAAAAAAAAAAAAAAAAAAAAAAAAAAGAACTAGGTGTTTAGTATATTTTAAACTGTATTTTGTTTTGTTTTACTTGAGGGGGAAGTCCCAAAATTAAAGGAATGGAGAAATAATCAAAATCATGGATACCATCTTTCTGTTTCTAGCTCCTGATTCCCTATAGATAACATTCCTTAAGATTCAGTTAGTAATATTTATGTGTTATGTCAGAAGATGAAACCTTTGTTCTTGGGATCACAGAATACTAAATCACCTCAAAACAAACAAACAAACAAACAAAAAACAGGTATCATGTAAAACAGTGGTTGCCAAAAGTAGAGCAAGGATAATTTCACTAGGCATTTGGCAATTCTTGGAGACATCTTTGGTTGTCATAACTGGGAGGATACTAGAGGCATGAATTGGGTAGAGGCCAGGAATGCTGCTAAATAGACTATAATACACAGGGAAAGCAACCTTACTCCTCAAAGAATTACCCCACCCAAAATGTCAAAAGTGCTGAGGTTGAGAAACCCTAATGTAAAGATCAGTCCCAGTTATAAACTGAAAACAGCTATTTACAAAGCAGTAAATGCAAGAAAGGAAAGGAAATTTCAAAGAGAAAGTGATGTAATGCAAATTGAGGATTTTACATGAGCAGATACTGCTGCTTTAGGTCAATGGTGAATGATCTCAGCAAATAGCGATCACTTTACCAGCTGCATATTGCACCCAAATAGGTAACTCTTCATTTTAGAAACAAAATGAATTTGAACACTGAGCCTTTTGAACTCAGCTATCTGTATAAAATCTTTCCTTAAAATTCATTATTTTGGGCAAAAAAAAAAAAAAAAGCATATCCAAACAACATTTTAACTACTAGTGGGAAGGTTAAAAAGCTGCCAGGAATTTGTAGTACAATGTATCCATTAAGAGTAAGGACTTTAAATGGAACAAGACAGCTGGGAAATGTCCCACTATGTCTAATGGAATTGTGCAGCTATAAAACATGAAATTATCAGTAATTTGGCTGCTTGCAGTTTTTTCAGCCTGTTAAAGCAAGTGCTAAGTACTTTATTTTTAAAGGTCTAGAAAACAATAGTCTTCCTGGAGCCCCAAAATCCCTTTCATGGGATTCATAAGGGACTCAGGTATTCTTACTTTCTGCCAAAAGGTGTGCTTATTTATGGACTCTTTTAAGATACTTTGTTTCTGAACTTAGGTGGATCTTGGTTTACTCTGCCTAGGTCCTACCTAACATTCCCTGTAGGAATATTTGAAATTCCACTAGCTAGTCTAAGAAGAAGTCAAAGCACAAAATTAGTTGTCAACACTCCTCATAACTCAAAATCGAAGCAGTTTGCAGGGAAGAACAAGAATGAGGTACACCTGCCTTGGTAAAGCAACTGCCAAATCTTGTTCTAGAAACAATCCCCAAGTGTGTGGATCTATTATAATTTCCTTATCTTTTATGAGTGAGGGCATCTTTTCTACTTGAGCAAGATCATGGTCTCGACCAGTGGGCTTTTCCTTCGTATCTGTCTTGTGTAGTTGTGCTTTTCCTTTGGCTCATTTTTGGTCTGTCAGGGTAACCAGCAGTGCAGAATATAAGATAAATGCTTTTTAGAGAGAAATCCAGTGAGACTGTAGAACCCAAAGCAAAACTGGCTGCTTTTATCAGTCTCTGTTTTCTTTTCTAAATGCTATAGAAAATACAGGCACCTGAAAAGAAACTACTACTTTAACACTGCTGTGGAAGGCCTTTGCTTTATAAGAAAAATATTATTAGCTATGGGAAAGTAATGTTCTTTATGTAAAGACTTAAAAATAGACTAATAGTTTACAGAGTTATTATATAAAATATGATGTGAATTTATTTCAAACAAGTTGTGAAGTTACCAAAAACCACAATAAAAGTTAATATATATAAAAACTACTAGAACAAAAAAACTTGAAGGTGTGGGGGTGGAGGTTATGGAAGACCAAAAGTAAATTTAAAAAAGAAATTTTTGAAAGGAAACAGCTTCATCAGGGGAAGTTAAATAAAACACTCCATTTTTTTTCCTTCTAATAATGGTATGGATCAACAAATGCAATTTGAACTTTTTAAGATAACTCTAAATGTGTTTTGTTTCTTAAATGCACAATTGAATTCTTCTATACTGTAATGCTTCTTTGCTGACGCTGGAAAATGGTCAGACTGCTGACTTTGTGCCTTTAAAATGCATTCTGCTTTGACAGTGGCAGACTTTTTGGTGCTGGAGGAGATTCACTAGCAGTCTTATATGTGCTTTTCAGGAAATACCTTTCTACTTAAGGCCTTGAGAGATTCAAAGTGGCATGACTTAGGCTTGGACCAAATATAAGATCTTTTACATTGCAAACAAAGTGTTGTATTGAATAAAGGGGTTAAAAAATATAATGACTAATGGAAATTTTGATGGGTTGGTAATTATTTAAAATGTATTTAAAAGTATACAGACTGAAAATTTCAGTATGAATATCTTGAAATTTTTCCTTGTTTACAAAACAACCTTTCTAACTTAAAAAAATGACTATTGCCTTAGAAAGTTTTAAAAGGCACAGTTACCCTTACATAACATGTATAAGAAATTTAAATATTAATGCATTTGCTGAACTATAAAAGAAAATTTTAAACCTTGATTTCAGAGTAAAGTGAATTGGCTTTCGTTGAGTCGTTACCTTATTCCCAATAGGAACTGCATTAAAAAGATGAAACTATTTATTTAGATTAAGTTTCTGCTACTCCAGCTCTTACATATGTCAGATCTGCTCTGTAGTATTTCCAAGATGGAGTTGTTAATAAGATATGTAAAATCACTTAGAAAATAAAATCAAATGTGAATAGTTGTGTAGGATGACCAAGCCAGATGTAGACTCCTTGGCCTATGGCAGAGTTCTGTGCCAGTGATTTTATTTGGAGTCTGGGAACTGATAGCTTGATATAAAATCACCTGGTGTCAATTAGGTATACAAATCTATCTTTTTTAATAAATAGAATGACTCTTCTTCATTTGTTTATTCAATAACTGTAACTTACTATGTCGGTCACTAAATTAACACCCTAAAGGAGGTCACAATCTAGGAGGAACATAGGCAAACAGTTACTTAATTTTATGGCATATGCTAACTCTGAAAGTTCAGCAATGGTGTTTTAAAATCCTATTTTTTATGAAATAAGGGAAAAGCAATTTTAGGTAATCATTGGCTGTTATAAACTGAAATGGCATTGACAACATGGATTAAAGTAAAAGTATCCCCCAACTGGAGGGATCCCCTCCTCAACCAGGTCACATAACATCTCTCTCAGGATCCCCTCTTACTGCAAAATCCAGCGTCTACTCAAACAGTTCCAGTGATTGGGAGCATTTATTTCATAACAGTGTTTGCTTTTGTCCCCCCCCCCACCAGTGTCTCTTTTAAAGAAAAAAAAAAATACTTTCTTTTGGTCTAAATTGTGAAAATACCCAAGACATTTGATAGAAATTGAATTCTGTCAACAGTGTTATTTATACTAAGATCAGGACAATTTCTTGAGATCATATTGTTTTATTACTAAGTTTGGCCTTTGTTTTACAAGTGTAATGTTCATATTTATTTGAATTTTAAGATTGGTTAAATGTTAATGAAGAGCAATCCAATTGTTAATTTTTAGTAGTGCCTTTTCTCTGTATGCCTTAATTTTATTTTATATTAATAATTCAAGTTACCCACCAAAATGAAGATTTTTTTCAAAATCAGTAGGCCTCACGAGTTCATTTGGCCTTAGACTGTGTATTGGTCCTTAAATGTTTCTTAATGCCTGCCTCCTCCTACCCTTTTCTACCTCCTTTTTTTAAAAAATAAGTAAATAAATGCTAGGAGAGAAACATTAGGATTTGTCTGTGATAGACACGCTGCAGCTTCCACTAGACATGAATTCCCAACACAAGCATTGAAAGAGGTATTCTCATTCTAAAGAGACATGAATGTGTTCTGGGTTGAATACTTGATTTTCAGTCACATTGGCGCTGTCCAAGTTCTTGGAATATTATAGCTCAGTTATGATATTCATAGTAGAGTTACAGTACCTGTTTTTGCCCTAAAGAAGTCATTCACGTGGTTTACAAATGTTAAGGCAATGAGACAGGACAATGAGTAGAAAATCCAGGGATAGCAGATTCTAGTCCTTACTTTTCATTTAACATTTTGAGTAATACCCTAATTTACTTTTCTGTGAAGCGCGTGCATGTGTGTGTGTGTGTGTGTGTGTGCGTGTGCATGTATGTGTGGTGTTTAGAGTTGGAAGCAGGGATGGGAAGAAGGGAAAAGGTATGAGTGTTCAATTAGATCAGTTTCTGTTTTGGGAAGAACAGCTCAAATGTTTGACCTACTGATGACATACAGTGAGTAGAGTCATCCTTGGGTAGGAACACCAGTACATTTTCTGCAAGTAGCTAGTATAAATGATTGTATAATAAAGATATTTATTGTAAATTGCCACACTCTTGGTTGCTAAAAGTAGATTAAAATTCAGTTTGTGTATATGTATAATAATAAGCTTATATATAATTCTTAAATAGTAATTGATTTTACATAGTTCTTCATGAACTTTTTGGAACTGAAATTCTGCCAGACATTATCAAAATAAGCTTCCTTAGCTTACCAAGTATTCACAAGGAAATTCTCTTATACCTCTTTTTGGTTGGCTAGGGGAAGC